AAAGCCGCTTCCGCATGAATTCAATTCCCGCCTGCCCCAGAGGTGACCACATGGCGCGGCAGACCTCTCCTGACCCACCCGCTGCTCCCTTCAGCAATGTACTTCATTGATCTGCCTGTTCTGCTCCCCACTCTGTCTCTGGTGAAGCCTCTCACCGCCCCTGAGTCTCTGGCCTGTACCCAGTTCTATATGTACAAATAAATAAATCTTAAAAAAAAAAAAAAACTGGAGGGATTAGTCAGAACAAATCTTAGTAAACAAATACCTTTAATGAAGAGTCTTGACTTGGTCTGCTACAATTCATTCTGCTATGGCATACTACTATGGCAGTAGTCTAAAGATCTCTACAAAAATCCCTCTAGTACCATGTTTCCTCTAGTACCATGTTTCCTCTTTCCATTAATATTTTCTGGTTGTACCTAGCTATCTTGCATAATTTCATTCCATCATAAGCTCCTTCAGGATAGTGATTAGATGACATTCATCTCTGTCTTTCTGACACTATATTTGTGCCATTCAAGCAGAAAAGACTCAATAAATATTTATTAAGTTAATACTTGAAATTCTCATGCAGGAAAAATTCTGAGTGCCTAGTATTGTTGATTTTCCTCTTATCACTACATCTCAGCATGATTTTGCTTTTCTTTGCTTTATATTTCCTATAAAAAAAACTAATGGTGACTGGCCAGGGAAATTACTAGCTTTGAACCTTGTCTTTTTTAATTTAAAGTTGGCAAACACCCTCTAAAGAAACTGTGGATAATCTTAATATATTTCTCTTGGAAACGTGAGAAATATTCAAGAGCAAGAAGTTCACATATTCAGAGATTATAAAATAGAGCCCTTGATTCTAGCCAATTCATTTGCGGGGAATAAAGAAATGACTGGAAAACTTAGTAAAGGCAAGAAGGAAAAACAGAAAGAAATAATACGTGGGTAACAAAAAAGATGCCTTTTTTACAGCTGGGATTCCTAGGTTAAGTATTAAAAACTAGGCAGTAGAAAACTATTATTTTGCAATGTAATTCTAATAAGGAACTCTCTGAAAGGAAGGAGAAATTCCCCTTGCCCCTCTAGATTCTTCTCAGGTTGGGTGAGCTATCAAATTAGCATCAGATATATTAGCTTTATGCTAATTACATTAACGAATACTTATGGAGAATCTGTAAGATGTGGATTCTAAAGCCAATGAGGCAAAAATGAAGATGTGTATTGTCAGCTAAGATAGGGGAGAGGGACTGGAACTTTAAGGTGAAGAACAGAAAATCACATGACAGGGAGGTGACTCAAATGATAAAGGACAGATGTTCCGTAATTAGATGTCTGCTCCAGATACAGATAGATTTCTCTGATAAAAGAGTTGTTTCTAATGTAATCTTAATTCAGGGTGATACCCCTAGTTTTTATTCTACTGTGTTGTTAAGGGAGTGGTAAAATTTGCTTATGAGCATGCAGGGACTTGATTGACCTCAGTTCAAATCCACTTGTTAAAGGGGTAAAGCCTTGTTAAAGGGGTAACTTTTTTTTTTTTTTTACTTAAAGGGGTAACATTTCAGGGAGGCCTGTCCTTCAGAACATCTAAACTCATGCTTAAGACAGTATGTGTGTATTTTGTGGCAAAGGTGGTATTTTCTGAAAGAAATATGTTCGGTTTTGTGTCCGCAATTTTGAGTGAATTTAAAACAGTCTCCCTTCTGTGCCTTAATTCCTTTGATTCAGCATGGGTCACATATTTACTGACTTGCAATTGGGGACCATCTTTAGGCAGAGTTCTGCTTATTTTACCATAGGAAATGTCGTTTTCACTTCGTTTTGTCGTTAATATGTGATCTTTGAAATAACTCACTTCATCTTTAACCATTTTTTTTTTTAAGTTACTAATACCGGAGCACGGTGAAGGATCGCCAATATCTTTCCTACCTTGGCTGCTTTATGAACTAATCCTGGTGTTTCTCTCATGTTCTCTAACAGCAGTCCTTGGCCACTTTGATCACCAGTCCAGCCTTTGGGGACAGAATGCCTTGGGCCTCAGGCCTTTGCTCCTGATATCCTGCGGTGGTCACTTTGGGGTGCGGAAACAAGCTTGGGAGTCGCGGCGCCCTGGACCTGGGGCTCTGCTAGGCAGCGGCAGCCCGCCTCCAGGCAGCGCGGGGAACTCCCATTTTCGCGCACCCTCAGAGTTGGCGCGGCGCGCGCGGCAGGACCGGGTCACGTGATTGTCAGGTGACCTCGCGCCC